TGACTTTTCTATTGAGAAAAAACGTTTTTATTTTGTTAAAGCAAAATATAGTTTATTTTTTGAGCCTTTTGGTTTTGTTTTGCTTTACCCATAATCATCCAAGTGTCCTTTCATGAAATATATTTGCAATGTCAGGCTTACCGAGATGTTCGGGATTCTGAAAGATCTCGAATAAGTATAATTGTGCTCCCCCGTTATCTACCATCAGAAGTGTTTTGCTAACAGTATCATAAAACTTTTCTAAATTTGCCATGAACATTTGGACTTTTGAATTTTACTTTAGAGCTGTGATATTTATGTCACTTAAAATTTAAATTTCATAGACAAGAGAAGAAAGGAAAATGGAAGCAATTCTGCAAGCTTTTGCCAGACTGGAAAAAAGAGAGAAAAGAAGAGAACAAGCTTTGGAAAGGATCAGCACAGCCAAAACTGAAGTTAAAACAGAATGTAAAGATACACAGATTGTCAGTGATGCTGAAGTTATTCAGGTATTCTTATTCAGGTCCAGTTATATTTCACCGTTAAACTCTTTATACCCGATTTAATTACATTTATAAAGAATTTTTAATGTCTGATATTAGCCTTTCAATAGCATTTCTCAAATCCTTTGAGAATTTAGACTTGAGATAAAGATTCTACTTGTTTTGTTTTTTAGTAAGAAAATTTTAATTATGTCAGTTAGTACATATTGGAATTCATAAAGAAACTTGGGGAAGTTAGCTTCTGAAGTAGATTAGCGCTATTAGATTTCAACTTCTCACTTATGTAAACATAGTATTAAAAGTTCCATTCTGTTGTATTTTGAATTAGGAACAAGTAAAAGAAGAAACTGCTAGCAAGCCAACCCCTGCCAAAGTGAATAGAACTAAACAGAGAAAAAGTTTTTCTCGCAGTAGGACTCACATTGGACAGCAGCGTCGGAGACACAGAACTGTCAGCATGTGTTCAGATATCCAGCCATCTTCTCCTGATTTGGAAGTTACTTCACAACAAAATGATATTGAAAATACTGTACCTGCAGTAGAGCCGGAAACTGAAACTGCACTAACAGAAATAATTACCGAATCTGAAGTTCCAGCACTTAATAAATGTCCTACAAAGTACCCCAAAACAAAGAAGGTATGGCAGTTAATGAATGTAAGAACAGCTTCCTGTCTTATGTGAAATATACTTATTTTTAAAATTCAGCCTGTAACAACCTCATAAGGAACAGAATAAGAGGCATAGTTTTTATACTTGCTAGTTTTTATACTTTAACTAGAAAAGAATTGCAAGACTATAAAATTAGTCAATATAAATGTTTATTGTTATGAAAACAGTAACAATTGAGTCTATCAAGACCTACTTATTTAGTATTGTGATTCAGGATTTCTTTAAATAATTTTGCGTAATCTATGTACTAAGTTTACACTTAAAAATAACTGGTTTTAGATGTTATTCTTTCTTTGATCTTGTATTTTTTTTTATGAATTCCACATTATAGGCAGATTATAAGAATTAAATGTGAAGAAATTGTGGATTTCCATAGAATGTGTAAAAATTCATAAGGATAGTTTTAGATCAGTTAATAAAAATCTTTGAAAACCTACCATTAAATTTAATGAAGCAGTATGGAAAACTATTCACTGAGATAAACCCACCTGAATTAAGAAATAACAGAACATCCTTAATGAAGCTTCTGTTTTTCTCCCACTTTTATTGTTGTTGTTAATCTTTCCCCGAGGATATTTTTCCCATTGATTTTTAGAGAGCGGGGGAAGGAGGGGGAGAGGAGGGAAGGGAGGGAGGGAGAGAGAGAGAAACATACCACACATGCCCTGACCAGGGCCAGGAATGGAACCTGCAACTGAGGTACATGCCCTTGACCAGAATCGAACCCATGACCCTTGAGTCAGCGCATGGATGCTCTAACCACTGAGTGAAATTGGTTAGGACTTTCCTCCCACTTTTGAATATAGTACAGCAGACTGGATGGAGCAGAGATCCTAAAGTAGTAATCTTTAGGCAATTTGGGGAGGGGGTAGATCATAAATGTATCCTTTCATAACTTCTACGTCCAAATACTTTGAAACTTGAGGAGGTCGAGGTTTGATTCCCGGTCAGGGCACATTCCCAGATTGGGTGCTGGGTCCCCATTGGGAGGCGTGCAGGAGGCAGCCAATCAGTGACTCTCTCATTGATGTTTCTGTCTCTCTTCCTCTTCCTTCCTCTCTGAAATCAATAAAAATATATTTTTAAAATGCTTTGAAATTTAATTTATCTTGTCTTTGTTCTTAACACATTCAGTAGTTTCCCAGTACTGTGAAACCATGAGAAGTACACTTAGTAAACATCTAGGACTGACCCTGGAGTATACTTTAATGGAGAATCCGAGGGTTAGTTAGAGATAAGATTGAAACACAGTTCTGTTTAATTTGAAATTTGTGAGATCTTGAGCAAACAACCCATTGCCTTAAGAATGAGCAGTTATTTTTGCCCACTTTGGAAGGACAAAAATAATATAACTCTATCTTTGTAATTTTGATTAAAGGGAAAACTCATGTTTAAAAAAGAACCTATTTTCTTGATTACAAATATGACATCATCCCTGATCAGTTACTAGAGCAGCCGTGGGCAAACTACAGCCCGCGGGCCGGATCCGGCCCATTTGAAATGAATAAAACATTAAAAAAAAAAAAAAAAAAAGACCGTACCCTTTTATGTAATGATGTTTACTTTGAATTTATATTAGTTCACACAAACACTCCATCCATGCTTTTGTTCCGGCCCTCCCGTCCAGTTTAGGAACCCATTGTGGCCCTCGAGTCAAAAAGTTTGCCCACCCCTGTACTAGAGGCTCGATGCACAAAATTCGTGCAAGGGGCTTGGCCCTTGCAGCCTCGGTGGCTTGCCTCGGCCCTAGCAGCCCCAGCTTCGTCCGGAAGGTCATTCGGCTGTCCGGTCTAATTAGCATATTACACTTTTATTATTATAGATTACTTGACTAAATGATTGCAGTGCTATAAATTTATTTAAACTCCTGGTCAAATGCCAAATCAATAGTGATTGTCAATGCTGACCGCTTTTTTTTTTTTTTTAAAGTACATGCACTGGTCTCATCTGAAGATACTGAACAGCCAGGGTAGAAAAGCACTGCCCCAAATCAGATTTTTCTAACAAAGTAAACATTTTATACCTAGAATAGAAGCAGTAACCTAAATTTATTTAGTGTTTGTGTTTATAAGATGGTGCTGAAGTCTCCTAGATTTTATTATTTTACAAAAGTTATTGTGTTTCTTTACAAAGTATTATTGTGTAAAAAAATTAGGCGTAAAACTAGTGATAACCAAGGAAACGTAGAATGACATTGATTTTGGGGGGGGAAATCATATATGAATGTTTGAATTATTTAATTTATCATTTTAGGTAATACATCAATTATAAATTGGGTCTTAGAATGTTCTATAGGAGAATCTGTAATGGCATATATAAGTGATCAAAGTTTTTCTTTTCTCTAGCACTTGGTCAATGAATGGTTAAGTGAGAAGAATGAGAAGACAGGAAAACCTTCAGATAGCCTTTCCGAAAGGCCTCTGCGCATAACCACAGATCCTGAAGTGTTAGCTACACAACTAAATTCTTTGCCAGGTCTCACTTACAGCCCTCATGTGTACTCTACTCCTAAGCACTATATTAGATTCACTTCACCATTCCTTTCAGAAAAAAGGAGGAGAAAAGAACCTACTGAAAACATTTCTGGCTCATGCAAGAAGGTAAACTTTTTCTGGATATAAAAATCTAGGCTGAGCCAAATGTCAATCTCATTGCTTACTACCATTCCTGGTAGTGAAATGCTTTTGGAATCGGCTCTACATAAATAGGCTCCATAAACAGCGACAAACTGATTTCTGTTCATTTATTGTTTGATGTATTTCAGCGATGGTTGAAACAAGCTCTAGAAGAAGAAAACTCAACAATTTTACATAGATTTATTTTACCCTGTCAAGAAAGATCCAGAAGTCCTATAATCAATGGTGAAAATAAAAGTCCTCTACTATTAAACGAAAGCTGTTCCCTTCCAGGTATCATTTTTTTTTTGGTACTGTTTTAATGTGAAACATATGGCCAGATGTGTACCACTGTATATAACAAAGTAATATTCTAGTTATTATGACATGCCTTACAAAAGAAGTACTTCGTTACATATTTTTTCTCATTTCTGTCCTCCAACCTTTTGGATGAAGATAGAAATGAAAACCTTAATTTGCAGTGCCATGTTGGTGAGAATGGTTGAATTTTTGGATTAGTTTTGGCTTTTGGGTTGGCTGCTTTTCAAACAGATTCAATAGGGCTCTTACAATTCAGTTAAATTAACATATCTACTTCTAAGATTTCTTCAGAGCCCTAGGTCTGTAAGCCTTTTGGCAAGATAATGCATGCTAATAGTGAAATTAAGTTTGGTGGGGTGGGGTAGGATGGAGAGAGATTGCTTTATATTAGTAATACGTTTAAAAACTCTGAAATTGTTTGGGGATTAAATTCATTAGTAGTAGTTGATATTTTGAGCTTTGTATCAAATACCAGCAGTAAAATTTCTTATGAATTGTTTCACCCAACAGATTTAACGACACCACTAAAAAAACGAAGACTTTATCAGTTGCTAGATTCTGCTTACTCAGAAACCTCCACTCCTACTCCTTCACCATATGCTACACCAACTCACATAGATATTACTTCTACGGACCCATCATTTGCCACTCCTCCACGAATAAAATCAGATGATGAAGCTTGTAGAAATGGTTATAAGCCCATATACTCACCAGTTACCCCAGTAACTCCTGGCACACCAGGAAATACCATGCACTTTGAGGTGAGAAATTTAAATGCAAAAAAACCCCCAAAAACAAACCTCATGGGGATGGTGTTACTTTAATAGCTTTTCTTTTCCCCCTTTAATAACTGGTTTACTGAGATTAGAAGTTTTTAAGAAACTAAAAAATATTTTGGAACATGCATTTATATAATTTGAACTTTTTATTTAAATGAGCATAACCTTCAATTTTATGAGTTATACTAAATGACTATATATCAGATTGACCTTAAAGCAAATGACCTTATATGAGAAATGGAAATAAAACAAAAAAGACAGTTTAAAACCACACTCTGTGTAATTAATTTCTCATTTTAAGTTTTCATTTCTATAAATACCATGGATTTAGTCACATATTTTAATTTTCAATTCTAATTATGTTTTTATATAGAATATTTCTTCCCCAGAAAGTTCTCCAGAAATTAAGAGACGCACTTACAGTCAAGAGGTAAGGGATTATTCAACTATTCAAAAAGGTTAAATTGGTGACTTTTTCCTAGTATTATTTTGCTTTAACAATTATTAGTAGACTTCAAAATTAGTCTCAAGATGTGGTTGTGCAATTTTGTTTTTATTCTTTAAACAGGGATATGAAAGATCTTCAACCATGTTAACATTGGGGCCTTTTAGAAATTCTAATTTAACTGAACTGGGTCTGCAAGAAATAAAGACTATTGGTTATACCAGCCCTAGGAGTAGGAATGAAGTCAACAGGCAGTGCCCTGGAGAAAAGGACTCTGCCGCAGACCTTCACCTGGGACTCGATGCCGTCGAGCAAACTGCCTTGCATAAAAGCATGGAAACACCTACACATGACAGGACTGACTCTAACAGCCAACTGGAATGTACTCACTCTGGACGAGGCGCAATATATTCTTCCTGGGTAAAGAGTCCTGACAGAACAGGTGTTAACTTCTCAGTAAACTCTAACTTGAGGGACCTGACACCCTCGCATCAGTTGGAAGTTGGAGGAGGCTTCCGAATAAGTGAGTCAAAATGCCTGATGCAGGATGATACTAGAGGCATGTTTATGAAAACACCTGTGTTTTGCACTTCAGAAGATGGGCTTGTATCTGGTTTCGGACGGACTATTAATGACAGTTTGATCGACGGAAGTTGCACACCCCAGAATCCACCACAAAAGAAAAAGGTTACAATTTTAAAGATTTATAGACCTTTTAATAGTGTTTTTTTCATACTCCTGAGGGTAATTAGTAGGTATAGTATGTATTATGTGTAAGGCATTCATATAGGTATTCAAGTTGAAATTTTTGTTATGTACATTTTCAAATCTTTTGTAAATGCCAAGTTAATTAGAAAATGTTGACAAAGGAGTAAAACAAACACTCTAGTCATATGGAAAATTCTTATAAGAAGCATGGTTTCAGAGATTAAAACCTCGAGATGATTATTTTCACCAAAAGAGTAACTTTTAAAAATGATAACCACTTCCCAACCAAAAAAACAAAGTTGTATATTTGTTACTACCCTTATTTTATATAGAATAAGTAGCCTTACATAGAAATGCCTTTCCTCAGTATTTGTATTTTGCAAAGTATAAGTATTATATAAATAATAAATTATCTGATTTACCACCATTATTCATTTGGCATACATAGCAAGACGATTAGAATGCCTTATTTCAGAGGAATGGGAGAAACTACACTTATTATATTTGTTAATAGGCTTATTGCTTTATAAGTCAAAGAATTTTAGTGATGTGTGCTTTTAATTTTTATAACAGAATCCAGTTGGCAACTTTGTGGGAAGCAATGTAGTATAGTGGAAAGAGCACGGGCTTTCAAGTAAGACCTAGGTTCGAATCCCGGCTCCAACACTCACCAGCTGTGTGACCTTGAGTGAGTGAGTTACTCAATTTCCTCATCTGTAAAATGGGGATGATAATATACCTATTTCATAGGGTTGTTGTGAGGATTAAATGAGATAATGTATGTAAATCATTAAATACAATGCCTAGTATATAGTAGGCATTTGGTAATTATTTGTTCAGAATCAAATTATTTTACATAATTTTCCTAATATAAATATAGTAATTCTCTTTAGAAAAAAAAGAATAGATGGACTCTGACATATAAAACAAGAATAAAAGATTTGCTTTTCCTTACCTTTCTTAAGGTTTCTTTATTAGAATACCGTAAAAGACAACGTGAAGCGAGGAAAAGTGGCTCTAAAACAGAACACTTCCCACTGGTCAGTGTGTCACTTCATGCAAGTGGAAACTTGAGCAACAATGGTGATGGGTGTGGCAACAGGAGTGAAAACGGGGAGTCAGTAGAAAGCACTGCTGGCCTACCTTTAGCAACACCAGCTACAGGTTATAATGCTTCTTCGGAAGAAACCAGCAATAACTGTCCTGTTAAGGAAGTTTCTGCCACCGAGAAGAATGAGCCAGTTCAATGGTAAGCCTGTTTAAAAACCTAATTAGTAGTTTTATAACTACAAATAGTATACCTTATAATGAAAATAGTCTTTGTTATTTGTAAAGTGTTGAAGTCTGCTATCCTGATAAGAACAAGGTTTTGTTAATAAACTGTCTTCATTTTTGTTGTTCTCCCAAGGCTAAGCGATAGAGGTTTGTGGACATAACTTTTGAAAGATCCTCTCTGGAAATGAGTTGTAAAACAGCTATATTATTTGCCTGTGTTGTTAAAGGTCCATTGTGGTCACTCCTTGATAGTTTTCACATAAATATTCCTCTCCAAAGAACCTCTATCATAGCCAACATCCTCCAATTTCTTTACCAGTTACCTGGAAAGAATCATCAACTATTCAGTAGGATAAGCAGCTGGAAATAGGATGGGTCTTGGCAAAGGGCAGGAGGCCACATTGACATTGCTCCTTGGTCCCCTTGCCCCAGAGAGCTTCCTGCTAACCTTACAATCCGGACACAAGGTAAATTGTAAAGGGTGTATTTGGTACCTTTGGTAATCTGAAGTAACATTCTGAATGTTAATACACAACCCTCCAACTCCCCCTCATTTTCACCAAGAAACTGCTTAAGACAAAGGAATCGAGTCCAATTGAGTACTTCGGAGAGACGAGGATTAAAAAAAAATCTGTTTTGAAAGCTGTGAGGAAAAGAAAGGGGGGAAAAAAAACTGTTTCCAAAGCTTAATACCAAAGTGGTTTCCCAAAAGATTAAAGACTTGCTCTGAGAGGACATATTTGACTATTAAGTGACAAAGAAAAGTCTGGCTAGTAGTAGCTTCTTTGAATTGATGATATGATTTTATTTGAAAGGACTGCCTCAACTTCAGTGGAGCAGGTGAGAGAAAGGAGTTACCAGAGAGCTTTACTTCTCAGTGATCACCGAAAGGATAAAGATATTGGTAAGTGAGCTTGTTCCTTTGCCAAAAAGTGGAGTCAGCTAATCACTCTGCACCCTTGTTCTTGCAGTTCTAATGTTCTCTTTGGGTCTGCTTCTGCTTCATCTCTAGGGGGAGAATCACCATGTGTCCCATGTTCACCGAGTCATGTTCCGTCTTCACCTCCATCTCATTCAAATCACATTCCCCAGTTGCAACCCAAGGGCCCAGTCCCTTCTTTCAGTGAACTTGTGGAAGGTCAGTAAGCAGATGACCTATCGTACCTTTTTAAATCAGAGAGAAGAGAGCCTTCATAAAAAGTTGGTTTCAATAGTGGAATGCACATTACTTTGGAAGGTTAGTAAAAGGCAACATATATAGTGGAATTTTGCACTTACTATATTTTTCTTCTGCATTATAGATCCTGATCCTGAAAATCTAGAACCCATGACTACAAATGAATGTCCATCCCCAGATGCTTGTAAAAGCCCTTCAAAAATGAGCAAGGTAATAATGTTGACCTTCGAACATGGCCATTCAGAAAAGTGGGTGGTAATGTACACAGAGATTTTTCTGCAGTATCAAATACCAGCTTATGATTTCTGGACACTTTTCCTATAAAAATTTGACCAAACTATCTAATGTGCTAAATACACTACAGTAACTGACATTTCCTCTAAGAGTCCCACCCCTATTCGATTGGCATCTAGGAAATTCATAGATGTGATCATCTAATGTGGCAGTAACTTTGGAAACTAAAAAGGAGGCATCTGAGATTGACTTCCTTTTTCTTTGTCCTTAACATCAATATATTATTTAAGTAGCCTTGAACTCAGATTATATTTGAGCAATGTAAAAGGTGTTACAACCACAATCGTTTTGGGGGAGCAACTTTATTTACCCAACCTATTTATTATTAGATTGGGTGTAGAAATTTCAATCATGGAATTGAAACTTGCTAAGTGTTTAGTGTGATTAGAGTTCTTTCATAATGGGGCTAAAAAACAGGTTTCATTACTTAGGGCAGTGGTCGGCAAACTGTGGCTCACGAGCCATGTGCGGGCACACACGCACAGTGGGATTGAAACTTCGTGGCCCATGCGCAGAAGTCGGTATTTTGTGGAAGAGCCACACTCAAGGGGCCAAAGAGCCGCACGTGGCTTGCGAGCCGCAGTTTGTTGACCACTGACTTAGGGGAAAAGCAGATTAAATTTAAAGATCATTATTTCCTTAACTTGTCTTCAATAAAAATTAATTGAAGGGATTCAGTTTAAAATTGAGTCCTCAAACCAATCTTACTCCTTACCTCTTTTTTAAATAGCATTAGATATTTAAGTAGCAATAAATACCAATATAACAAGCCTATATATATGTGTGTGTCTGTTTCTTAAATTTATAGTTTATATGATTTGTTTTTCTTTTCATAGCCTAACTCACCGGGACCTATAATTCCTGTTCAACTCACAAAACCAGATTCCCAATGGGAGGCAACAGGTATTGTGTCAGAAGCTGAGAATGGTGTTCACCTGAAAACAGAACTCCAACAAAAACAGCTATTAAATAACCCCCAAGCACTTTCAAAGAATCCTCCTCCTCAGCCACTCGTTCGTAACTCATCTGAGCAACTTTCACAAAAGCTGCCTCCTGCACCAGTGAAGTTACACTGTCCTCCATCACCTCACATAGAAAATCCTCCCAAGTCGTCGACGCCGCACACGCCTGTCCAGCATGGCTATCTCTCACCAAAGCCTCCTTCACAGCAGTTAGGGTCTCCCTATAGGCCTCACCACTCACAGTCACCTCAAGTTGGAACACCTCAGCGAGAACCTCAGAGAAACTTTTACCCAGCAGCACAGAACCTTCAGGCCAGTACTCAGCAGGCACCTCCTGGAGCGTTATTTACACAGACACCCTCAGGACAATCTTCGGCAACATACAGTCAGTTTAACCAACAAAGTCTGAACAGTGCGGCACCACCCCCTCCGCCCCCTCCGCCTCCTTCTTCTTCATCTTATTATCAAAACCAGCAGCCCTCTGCAAACTTTCAAAATTATAATCAGCTTAAAGGTAGTCTTTCCCAACAGACTGTGTTTACATCAGGACCAAATCAAGCACTTCCTGGCACCACAAGCCAGCAAACAGTTCCAGGACACCATGTTACTCCAGGGCATTTTTTGCCTTCTCAGAACCCTACTATTCATCATCCAACTTCTGCTACTGTCGTCCCACCCCCTCCTCCACCACCACCTGCTCCAGGACCACATCTTGTACAACAGCCAAGTTCCCATCAGCAACACTCTGTGGCACATGTAGTAGGACCTGTTCACGCTGTCACCCCCGGGTCGCATATTCATGCCCAAACTGTTGGACACCATTTGCCACCACCCCCTCCACCTCCTGCCCCTGCCCCTCATCACCATCCACCGCCCCATCCTTCCACAGGACTCCAAGGTCTACAAGCACAACACCAGCATGTTGTAAATTCAGCACCACCACCTCCACCACCTCCACCACCTCCACCTTCCAGTGTTTTGGCTTCTGGGCATCACAACACATCAGCTCAAGCCTTACACCATCCACCTCATCAAGGACCTCCACTTTTTCCTTCAAGTGCTCATCCAGCTGTACCACCATATCCCTCACAAGCTACACATCACACCGCTCTGGGACCGGGAGCCCAACACCAGCCTTCTGGAACAGGGCCACACTGTCCATTACCAGTCGCAGGTCCTCATCTCCAGCCCCAAGGACCAAACAGTATTCCAACACCTGCTTCAGGGTTCTGTCCTCATCCTGGCTCTGTGGCTCTGCCACACGGGGTTCAAGGACCTCAGCAGGCATCTCCAGTGCCTGGACAGATTCCAATTCACAGAGCACAGGTGCCACCAACATTTCAGAACAATTACCACGGTTCAGGGTGGCATTAAAATGGACTCCCAAAACATTTTTTAAAATGTTCTGTAAGATAAACTGTATAATATGTACCTGTTAAGGTACTTTTTAAAGCTTGTACATGAAACTTTGTATTAAAAAACAAACAAAAAAACACCAGTGCTCTTTCATTGTATCGTTCCCACCTTTGCTTTTTAAAAATTCCTTTAAAAATGTGCTATTAAGCCAGTATTAGTTACCTTTACTTTGTAAGTGGAACATTCCAGCTGTTTTTCTGGCAGAATTGACGCTACATGATCTTTAAATTTTATTGTTGCAGTTAAATTCATTTAGTGAATGTTTTCTATATTATTTTATACATAGGCATTACGTACAGAGCTAAGCAATGGCACTACGAGGATTTTATTTTTTTTCTTCCTGTCAGCAGTTCTGTGAGTGCATCTTAGATATAAAAAAATGCAATACAGATTTTTATAGTTTGATGTGGACATGGCTCATTTTGTTTTATGGTTATTTGCAAGCAAAATGTAATTTAATGTATAGATGATTTTTAATGTCTCCTGACAAACTGTAAATACTGCATTTCTTTTGCATATATAATTGCTTACAGCTTTTCTCATTTGATATATAGCATTGTACATATTACAAGTCTTCGCAAAACTGTGTGATCTTCGTGAAAGTAGTACAGTATATGGCCTTTAATTTCTTTTTTATTTTAAATATACTGTCACATTGAAGCACTGGTTGGGCATTTTAATTCATGTTAATAAATCACAATTATGTCCGTTTTACCAAATTGTCCTGTACAACTTCTGAGATTGGGGTCTGTTTAAACAAGTGCTTTTACAAAAGTTTGTTTTTATATAGTTTATACGGAGCCTTCAGTTTTCTTTAGCAAATACTACCTCAGGGGGACTGCAGCAAGCGTCAAGAAGCAGTAAAGGTTGTTCCTGTAATGCTTCTGCTGGTCAGTGTTCAGGAGCAGGAGCCACAGGAAACTAGGTTATGTAAATGCTCTGTACACTGTATCTGATCTCACACAGACTGAACCCATACCATGAAAGCAGACTGAACCCATACCATGAAAGCATTGCACAGATACCCTTATCCTATATAATAAAAGGCTAATATGCAAATCAACCAAACAGCGGAAAGATCGGTTGCTATGATGCACACTGACCACTAGGGGGCAGACGCTCAATGCAAGAGCTGCCCCTTGGTGGTCAGTGCACTCCTAAGGGGCGCACTGCTCAGCCAGAAGCTGGGCTCACCGCTGGCTAGTGCAGTGGCAGTGGTGGGAGCCTCTTCCGCCTCTGTGGCAGTGCTAAGGACCCTTCAGGGGATGTCCAACTGCCAGCTTAGGCCCACTCCCCAAGGGGTCCCAGACTACAACATCCCGCCCCTCCCCTAGTGCACTAATGTCATGCACCAGGCCTCTAGTAGACTGTAATTTACAACTGTTTCACAATATTGAGTATTTGCCTAAACACACAGGAGCATCTAACTTGTACATTTTACAACAAGATTGCAATGTCCTGTTGATTTATCAAAATTGTTTGAAAAATGTTAATTTAACATTTACTGTCTTGTTTTGGAATTTTAGAAAATAGGAAATTAAAAAACTTGTTTTGGGTGTACAAAATTTAAAGGAAAAAGGCATTATTCTTAGTTCTCCCAAGTAAAATGGAAATGACCTCTCAAAGTGAACATTTTACTGCTGAAATATAAACTGCTAGTTATTTTAGAAAAATAAAAAATTATTCTTATGTTCTCTACCTTTCAGGCAATTGATAAGTACAACCAATAGTAATGACACTATTTGTCAACACTTTTTTCATCATCTAATTACTTGACATAATTTGGCACAGCATACAAATTCTGTGCATTGAAGAAAAACATGAACAGACTAAAATGACTAAGAATTGGCAATACTGTAAGTCATGTTATACATTTTAATTTCCATTTCCAAATAGCTAATGATAGTACATTAACACAGCTGCGTTTAGAGATCAATCCTAATCAGCTTCAAGTTTTAGGAGAACTTGGGTCAACTTTACTACCCTTGCTTTTATCGAACAAAATTCTACTTTACCAAAAGAAACACTTGTCCAAGGAGAAATGGCTTCACATTATCCAACCCGACAGTTTCAAACACTAGAACAAAGTTAACTAAGCATAGTGAAACAGCTTCATCTCTTTAAAGGATTTTTAATTCCTCATGGATGTCTACTAAATAATGTATATAGAATCTTTTCTGTCAACTGCAGAATCTTATATAATTAATTGACTTGATAATGAAGGATGCATACACTCTCAAAATACTCAAAATTTCATTAAAGTTAAAAAAAATTAATGGGAGAAAAAGGTGGAATTTAGGAATTAATTTCAACTGTAGATATAAACTAAAGCTCTCTACCCCAGCAGAAACCAGTAGTTATGTTAACTATATATATATATATATATATATATGATCCAGGTACAGGAAGAAGCAAGTTAGTAAATCAGTTTTCACCTTTAAAAATGTATGCTTTTTTGAAGCTCTTATATTGACCTTTTCTCTGCCTTTGGGAAGTTCTAATTTCCAGACAGCCAGCTTCTGAATCTGCTATAATCCACTGCTTGTCATTTTTCCATGAAGACTTTACATGGACTAGAGGAAAAGATAGAACGTTCAACTAAAATCACTGGCTATAGTGTTCTACATAACCGGCAGTTCTTTAGCTTATAGTATACATTATCATTGAGCCACCAAGAATCTGCTAAAAACCACTGTACCTAAAACAAATGTATATTCCTTACAGAGCAGTTGTTTCATTTTTAAAAAATCTTTACTTGAAAATGTGTTTCCACTGATTTCAGAGAGAGGGAGGGAGGGAGAGAAACATTGATGTGAGAGAGAAACATCCATCTGTTACTTCCTGTACACGCCCTGACTGGTGATCACACCCACACCTAGGTATGTGCCCTGACCAGGAATCAAACCTGCAACCTTTTGGTGTACAGGACAACGCTCCAACCAACCAAGCCACCTGGCCAGGGCAAGAATAATTGTTTTTTACATTGTAAACTAGGTAGACTATTTTATCATGAGGGACAGATCCTTCCAAAATTCATAATCTAGTTAATTTTCAAACAGCCAAAATTGCATTAGAGAAATTTCATTCAAGTGTGCTATAGCCCTGGTAAAAATTATTATGGTTCCTATGGAAATGTTGGATAGCATCGCTGGTCTACAGCCACCATCTGTCATAGAACCTGTATGATAACCTATAGCCTCATTAGAAAAACGTACAAGCACATTTCATAAATGAACAGCATGTTCCACCTCACAGTAATAGGTGATATAATGCTCACTCCAAAGAGAATTATATGTATTGTTCCCTCACAGTGAACACTGTTGAAAAAGAATTGTAATACTCAAAGTATAAGTAATGTTTTTCATTAAACAAATGAAAAGGGATCACTGAGATCCTAGGTATTAAATCCATACTGCAGCATCTTCTCTGAATCCATATTCTATACCCTTACAAAACAATGAGTGACTTCCTTGTATAAAGCCTTAATTCATGTTATAGAACTACATTTCCTGCAACAGGAATGTTGATATTTACTTTAGTTTGGGTAGACTACACTAAAAGGATAGCAAATGTTTGTTCATTCTATGGATTCAAATATAGGCCAATGACCAAGGCGTCTGGGGGGAAAAAAAACCCAAAAACACTTTAATTTTTAAAACAACTGCAAGCACCTCAAACAATGGATTATTGTTACAACACTTGTTCTCTTTTCACAATCTAGTTATTGCAAAGGCATATGGATAAATGTTAATAGACAAAGTCAAGAAAAAGGAGGCACCTTAAATGTAAAATTTAAAAAAAAAACCCAAAAACTGGCATTCAATCCACTGACTTCTAAAAGAGGCTAAATAGACCTCTTGTATATTATATCCTAAAACTGTATTGCCTACTATGGTTTGTGTCCTGGATTCTACAATTTTAAAGAAATGATAAACAAAACTGTGTACAACCTGCAAAGGGAAAATCAATTTCTCAACTTCAATGCACGAAAAGACAAACTAGTAAAATTTGTTGTAGTCACACATAAAAAATGCCTACAGAATGAACGTGATCACTGTTACCTCTGAGTTGTTAATATTCTGCCCATTACACTGCAAATTGCATATACCATACCTTGGTTTCTAGACAAACACAAGCAAGATTTTCCAAAAATATGTATTTTTTCATTTCACACACTGAACATGTTTCTCTTGTCCAGTTTAATCTACGTAGACTTCAACTTAGTGTTTGGAGGAGGCAACACCACATGGTACCAGGCCATCTCATTTTTAAAGAGAAACTGCTGTTGTTTTTTCTTCTTAAAAGTACTTTTAAAATACGCAAAAACAGGAAAAGGAATGCTAAACTATAAAACGTACTTTAGAATGGGAAGTATGTTTTTTTCTCTCTTCAGGTGCCATATAGGGAATGACATAACCCAGAGCCACTCTGTTTAAAATCCTCAGATAAAGGACCGTTATGGAATGAAGTTTGTACAACTCCCTGGAGCTAAGTCCACTACATGCAACTTAGGCTACAAAGCACTCAAGACCTGGTAACTTTTCTGAAATTGGAGTTCCCATCCTATATTTAATGGAAATTAACATTTACAGGGTGCATTGCATTTACATATCCTATAATACAGGAATGATATCCCTTTGCCAGAAGATAAAATTGTAAATTTTCTTGCTATTTCTTGGTTCCAACTTGATAATTTCTTAAGATTGTAAACTATATAGTATTTGGCTAAAATATTTCTTCATAAATAGTTACAAAACCTGTCAAAACACAAGGAAAGTATTTTTCTTTAAAAAAAACAAAAAACCTGACATTTGGATGTCACACAACACCAGAAACAATGCTTAGAGACGTGGTATTGTTCCAGAAGAAAGTGGGTCAGTGAGCTACTAAGCTGAAGATAGAGACTGCCCTTCCCCAGGATCATATTGCATAAAGCAAAATGTCAAACAACAGTTCCTGAAAGCAAAATAAAGGTCGGAGGATGAAGCCAGCTCACTTGTAATCATGTTAAAAAGAATGAGAGTCACCGTTTAGATCCAATGTACTGGAAAACATTTGCTAGCTCAGAATACTACCGTATTTGTAAAATCTGCTAAGAATTCAGCCAAGGATGCGGAAGGCATTCGCCAGCAGAGGCTTGTTTTTCTGGAACCATTTCTAACATCGGAATCAGGAAACCTGTAAACTGTGCAGCATCTCCATGGGGACACCCATACTTTTCCACAAGTACATCAAGGAGGCTCCAGGGCTTCAGCTTGGTGATGTGCCGCAGCTCTCCTGCAGGGAGAACAGACACGTCAAGAAAGCCCCAAGTGTGCATTTCCTACTGTTGTTCTAGGCAGGTTCTTTTCAATGAAGCAGATACCTACCTGCTTAACACTATGAAACAACAAAGAAGGCCAGCTTTTCTCCTCAAGAATAATCCTTAAATGTACATGAGTGTGTCATCTACAAGTAAGCTTGGCCAATGTAAACAGGCATTAATTTAACAGGGACTAGTTCGTTCACATCGATTCTAGGTTTCTTTACATGAGGAGGGCCTGGTGAGTGCATCTAAGAGGTTTCCATTTGCAAAACTGATGGAGGCACTCCCATTGCCATTTGGTATTTTTTGCAACTTGCAAATTTGCTTAGAAAAAGCTTTAAGATACATACTATTTAAACACTTTGGGCCACTATTTTACATGTTACCACGCAAAAGAAAAAGGCATCTCTTCCTTTAGAACAGTGCGATTTGAGAACACCCTGTGATGGTAGCCTACGATGCACTTCATCTGCACTCCAGGGGACAGCTGCAGGCTGGCTATGGCTTCTGAGCACTTGAAATATGGTCAGTGTGGCTAAGGAATTCCAGCTTTAATGTGTTTAAATGTAAGTAGCTTGTGGCTCCTCTACAGGGCAGCACAGCTCTAGATGCCAACCTGTATCAGATACCATTCCTTTCTACACACTTGTTGTAAAATCTAAGATATCAGGGCATACATTTATAAACCTTGAAGTTATTCTTTTCAAACTGTGCTGGCTGCAGTATAAACCCAAGCAGCCCCGTGGACATAACAGAATGACTAAAAAGCTAGTAAACGGGCAGTAATTGTAAACGCCTTTTTCATAATAGGAGAAAAAGTTACCTTTACGCCAAACTGCCCTCAGAAAGCTTACATTATGATTAACTTGTTTTCTCCACCTGTTAGAAATCTTCACAGGATACCCCACCCCTGCCCACAGAGAGGCCTCCGTGGGCGCCCATCTGAGCACACAGACAAGCTGCACTCCACCCCACACCCTCTCAGGCCCACGGCAAGCCAGAGTCCTGTGGGCACCCTATAGGCACACCTCATGCCAGGGACGATTTCTCCCCTTTCACAGTTTAACCAACATGGTGAATTTTCTCATGATATGCATTAACAGACATCCAGTTTTGTGCTTACAGAGGTCTTAGAAGGCTTCGTCTATTTCACCCACTTATTCAGCTCAATTTAGAAACACTCTTCCTTTTTCATTAATCGTAAAGAAAATAAAAGAACATCTCAAAAAACTATAAACACAGAAGTGACTGTAATCCCACCCACAGGGACCTTTTCTTCTAGTCTATACTCTTTCAATGTACACTGTTATGAGCTGCTATGTCTACAGAGTTGTAACCACGATGTGCACAGAATTCTGAATAAAAACATCTAGCACAGCTGGTGTGGCTCAGTGGTTGAGCGTTGACCTATGAACCAGGAGGTCACAGTTTGATTCCCGCTCGGGGCACATGCCGGGGTTGCAGGCTCAATCCCCAGTGGGGGGTGTGCAGGAGGTAGCCCATCAATGATTCGCTCTCATCCCTGATGTTTCTATCTCTCTCCCTCTCCCTTCCTCTCTCAAATCAATAAAAATATATTTTAAAAAATGTATCTATCCACACGTTCTTCTTACAGCTTCTGGCTCCCTTATGAGGACTGGGGATGGAGTGGAGCCTCCAGTCTGCAGGGCAGGTCTATTGATTCAGGGGAAGCCACCCTCAAAGTCTGAGCAATCATGAATGTTCATCTCCTTTAAACCAAAATTCCAGTTTTAGGGACCAGCCTAAGAAAATAAACCCTGGCACCCTCCCCTCCCCCCACCCCACACACACATACCTCCTAAATATGCATATTGCAAAAGTACATATACTTGCCGTATTTCAAATGTTCAGTAATAGGAGAATGGTGTTTAAAAACAACAACCGTGGTTTGTTGAATGAATATTATTTAATACTACTTAATAACATGGAATTATATGGTAAAATGTTTGGTAGTAAAAGAATGAATGTGAAAACTATGTTCTATACATTGATCACAAGAGTTATCTTCAAAGTGCTCATAAAGATATAACACGTGGCCCTAACCAGTTTGGCTCAGTGGATGGAGCGTCGGCCTGCGGACTAAAAGGTCCCAGGTTCAATTCCAGTTAAGGGCATGTACCTTGGTTGCAGGCACATTTCCAGTGGGGGGTGTGCAGGAGGCAGCTGATCGATGCTTCTTTCTCATTGATTCTAACTCCCTCTCCCTCTCCCTTCCTCTCTGTAAAAAATCAATAAAATATGTTTTTTAAAAAAAAGGGACTATGGGAACAGAAAATTTAAAAAAAGATATAACAGGTGCCCCCCCACACATCAGTGTTGTAATAAGATTGTTTTTTTCCTGTATTTTCTATAATGCAGCTCTATTGATTTTATAGTGACTACTGATCTCATCCAAGCAAGGGGAGAAAGCTCACACATAACAGGCTATTACAAGCTGTTTGGGAGCGGGGGGGGGGGGGGGCGAGGGGGGGAGGATGGACTCTATTTACACTCATCTATTCTGACTTGGAAGAAATACTTTCCAGGCTTGGAAATGAATGAAACTACCCAGAGGCACTGTCTGCCCAGAACAACCGAGACATGTAGTCCCGAGGATGCCAGTTTTTACACAAACAAAAATCCATCAAAAGGCATGAATGTGCACTCTTTAGTGAAAATATGGATTACCCCAAAGGTGACTTAAAGTCTGCATAACAATTCAGTGCTGAAAGGCTGTGAAAACTATTCAGACCTAACTAGTATCACAAACTGATAAAAATATCCCCAGTCTAAAATATCTAACATACTTTGACCAGGTAAATCGCACATAAAAAACTGTATGTGCAAATATATGGCCTGTAACAGGAAAATATGCAGAATAATCCTAAACAATGAAGAATATGCAGAATAATCCTAGGCAATGAAGACAGAAGAACAATGCAATATAACAAAGTACTGAACTGCCTCTAAAAAGAACATGTGGATTATGTGGCTAGGTGAAAGAATACATGATGCCAAAAAACTACAACAAAAACATGAAATAAACTCGCCCAGGCCCTAGGACTGTATGTACACATTCTTGCATTTAACTCAACAATAAGAAATGCTGTCTGATAACCAGCTGACGAAGGTTAAAAACAAACCCTCAGCTCCCAAACTTGGAGATCTGCCCCGGGCAGAAACGATAAATCCAGGCTCATCGGAGGAGTCAGGGCCTCCAGTCCCCTTACCAGCTCCAGCCCCGCATATAAAACACAAGAAACAGCACCTGCACTGCCACCACTCACTATAAAAATAAAGTAAGAACATAAGTGGCTCCCACATAAGTTAAAGAATTTTTTTGCCCTGACAATTTTTTCTCTGAAGAAAATATACCAAGATATGTTTTGCTGAAACAAATTTTGCAAGTACGGACATAATGACACCTCATGGTGATGGTCTTCACTTTTGAAGCCTTTCTCCCTTCCTCGTCACCAGCTCTCACACACTGTGTGTGCAAACAGAACACCAGCCAGGCTACTTTCTGGATGGGAGCCCTGACCGGCCGCCCTCACCAGCCCAGGGCAGCCCCGACAGAGCCGCAGAAAGCTGCCAGGAAAGGCCTGCGGGAGCGCTCCCCCGGAGTGCAGGCTTTGGGACTGGGACTGTATCTGCCAGTCCCAGGTTATCAGGTTACTTTTTAGGGAAAAAAGTGAAGTACTTCCATTATGTCTCTTAAATATTAAGTGATTTGTGAAGGGAAATATGTTATTCTGTCCATAAAATTATAATATTCCAGAATTATGAGTTTTTACACCACATACGGGGACTACGAAGGCAAATCCTGGGACAAGCATGAGTTTTTACACCAAGAATGCTAAGTGCATTCGACTCCACAGGTCACCTTGAAACAAGCGCCTCAAAAAGAACCGTGTATGCAAGCCCTAAGCACAGCCGGGACAATGGAGAACTTACACTGGCCTGTGCACAGGCAGGGAAGGGCACAGACCAGGAGCACCCAGGTGCCGGGGTGCTGATGCAAAGGCCAACCAGAAAGCCAGCTTCCAGCACGAAGGGCCCCAGAACAGGGAGCTCTGAGCTGAAACCCACCACCATCTGACATCAGTTCACTAGGCAGCACTCATCAGCCTGCCCTCTGAAGGCAACCCTCACAGGTGAGGAGGGTGCAGGCCCTCAGCTGCTGCTGCCTGGTCTTCTCCAGTGCGGTGCCTGGAGGACATTTGGGCCTGCTGCAGAGCCTGCCGGGCGGGGCGCCTCAGGGCAGCACCACCCCGAGCACAGATGGCCTCAGGCTGCTCAGGGTCCTGGGTGTGAGCCTGCTGGTGGGGCAGGGGAACTTTCCATCTCACTCCTGTGACCCAGACTTGAAGACCAGAATCTCAGAACCAAAATTAATACAGGTTGTCTGGTAAATCGTTTTCCCTGGCAATTCTTTTTCCTGTGATAAGCCGTAAAAAGGTAGTAAAAAAATAACTGCATCTGGTTTCACATGTCACAGGCTGCCCACTGGGTGGTCCCAGAAAAGCTCGGTTGTGGTCAATGTGCTCCAGGAAGTGGAACACATAAACACCTTCCCATGGTTAGTTCTTGGTTTTCCCGTATATTTAACAGGGAAATAAAACCTACAGGACAAAACAAGGCTGGTGAGCTGAACATCAAGTGTATAATAAAAGATAACTACTCTAGCCTAGCTGGTTTGGCTCAGTGGATAGAGCGTCTGTCAGCCTGTGGACTGAAGGGTCCTGGGTTCAATTCCAGTCAAGGACATGTACCTTGGTTGCAGGCTCAATCTCCAATCCCTGGCCCTGATCAGGGCACTTGCAGGAGGCAACCAATCGATGTGCCTCTCTCACATCAATGTTTTTCCCCTTCCCTTCCACTCTCTCTAAAAAACAATGAGAAAATATCCTTGGATGAGAATTAACAACAATAAAAGGGGGGGGGGTAACTACTCTAAGAATTCCTTTATCTCATAGGAAAATAAAATGTCAAATTGGTGCAACAAATCAGGTTAGGGCAGGGGGCAGAGAGTATCTGAGATTTTCAGGAATTTCTATAACTCCATGTCCTGCTCATACCAATTTTAAAGGTTCTAACAACAATAAAAAAATTAAGCTGAAAAATCATGAATTAAGAGAATTATATTCACACAAAAGACTATAGCACTGGGGAGGGACTCTTTAAAAATAATTCCCTGGAGTTTTTGAAAACTGATCATTAATAAGGGGACTGACTATACAGGGCAAAGAAACAGGTCATGCCAAGGAAGGATCAATAAGAACAATAATATTAAAATAAAATCACTTATAATACAGGGTGAGATCCGGCAATGGGGGAACAGGGGCGGGTTTGCAGGAATGGAGCTCAATGGGTGTCACAGGCCTGCCCACTGCATGAACCGCCGACAGGTCCCAGAGGACAGCAGTGGGCGTTCACAAGGCAAGGCTCTGGGCTGCCGCTGCTCCGGTGCAGGTCACTCCAGCTCCATGAACAGCACAGAAAATGTAAAGGTAAGGTTAGCTGGTTTCTAACGATCACTTCACTCCTCTTATAAATACTTTAATACACAGATTGGTACTCAGAGCAGGAGAGAGGAGGTGTGGAGGAGATAAAAGATTTTAGGAAGGTTGTCTCTTACAAAATTCTTATTCCACAGGTATCAGATGGTTCATTCATGTTTATTTCTTGGGAGCTTCCTTCAGTAGAATTCCCCAGTTGTGAAAGTCCAGGTTTTTCTCCAATGCCCAAATGCAAAAGCATAATTTCTCCTTTAGGGAGAGGATTATGCTGAAATTAGTGTTGCATAGTACTGTTACCTTTTCTGGTGAAAATTCCTTGGAATATTTCCCCAACATAGCGAATTTTCGAGGGATTTTCCCGAGCAGTTCAATGATCAATGCTATGTGATCTGCATTGGGAAACATTACCAGCAAAACAGAAACACACGACAGTTTAATCACACGCTGCATGCAGACACGGCCACCGCCTGTGCAGACAGAAACCGAGCGGCCAGAGCAACAAAAGCACTGGCTCCGCCGTGTGGCTGGATGCAGGCACCGGGCCCAGGACACCTCGGAGGAGCTGGTGCACAGGTGACCAGCACTGGGCCACGTGATTTCCCTCCCAGCTTTGACACCAGCACCGGGTTCTGCCGGCTGCTTTATAAATTTAGGAGAAACGCCTGTCACCATGAATGCTGAAACCAGTAGCTGCTATTCCGTTTCTGTCTGCATCGTGGCGCTTTCCAAAAAGAAGAGGTACTACCTCTGCGATTGAAGAATTCCCGAGAGTATTTTCCAGATAGAGCAAAGTGCCCTGGGATACTGCATAGCAGTTCTATGATATGGGCTATGTGGTCTACAAAGGAGAGAAAAAAGGGATGGGAACGGGCGGGACAGAGGGAAGGAGGGGGTAAAAGAGGGAGAAAACAAATTAGTAAAAACTCAGAAACATTCAAATCAACAATGTTTGCAGCACAGCCATGCAGAGGCTCTGGGACTGGCAGGCCTCAGCACCATCTGGAGCATTAACGGTCATGAATACCAGCACATCCCAGGCCACCCAGCATCACAAGCAACTCAGCATAGAGAGGGCCAGGTTCACAGATGGGGTTCAAGCTCGAATTCCCTGGGTTTCAGCTCAGCTCCCCAACAGGAGAGGAAAACAAGTAGCGGATCAGTGGACAAAAGGAACACAGAGGCCCCGGCTCTGTGCAGCCTGTCCTCTCCCGGCCGGCTGGGGCGGGGGGGTGGGGGGGGGCCTGTGGGCAGCAGGAGGGAAGGCGCTCCAGGAGGCTCTGCCCATTCCCTGTCACTGAAGGGGCTTCAAGCTCAAAAAGAAAATCATCTGAACTTGGTGTTCAAACACCAACACATGGTTCTATTTCAGAACAAGATATAATACTCTCCAGAATTTCAGGACCCGCGGGCAGGAGCCCCACACTACGGTACCAGCAGGCAGCAATACTCACCTTCGTCTCTGGAATAGTCCTCTCCAGAATGCGGTTCAAACAAATAATCTCCGGTCGCCAGCTCAAAGGCCTAAAACACAACAGATGACAGGCTAAGCACTCCAGAGACTGGCCCCAAGTTCTCCTCCTTGTACAGAGACCTACATTTTTTTAAGGATCTCAATCAAACCAAAAAGCCTCCTTAAAAGACCTCAACTCCAAATTTTTTCTCCCTTTCAAAAAGTTCAAAAAAGCCCCAGAAGTAATCTTGCACCTCCTTTGCTGGAAGACGAAAGGGCTGTGCACTGTCCTTATTTTACTGGAAGTAAACAGACATGTCCTGGCACCACAAGCTGTGCGGAGGGCTGGCCAGAACACTGCTCAGCCTCGAGTGGTAGGAGGAGGACTCAATCCGGGCGAGGTCTCTCTGCTTCCGGAGCCTGCACTCAACCAGCAGGCTAACCTGGCCCCTGGCTGCTGCCACTCTCCTGAAGCAAAGACCTTCATGTCTTAGTAACTAAGGGGGCTATTTTCAACATCTCATCATGTCATTCATTTCTGACTCAACCAAAGGAACACCTAGCACAGTGATGGCGAACCTATGACACGCGTGTCAGAGGTGAGACACGAACTCATTTTTTTGGTTGATTTTTCTTTGTTTAATGGCATTTAAATATATAAAATAAATGTCAACAATATAAATCTTTGTTTTACTATGGTTGCAAATATCAAAAAATTTCTATATGTGACACGGCACCAGAGTTAAGTTAGGGTTTTTCAAAATGCTGACACACCAAGTTCAAAAGGTTTGCCATCACTGACCTAGAACCTAAGAAGCCCCTCTTGCCCTGTGCCTGGGGCTGGGAGGAACCTGATCCCTGTGCAGCCCTCCGAGGAGGGCAAGGAGAGCTGGCTGCCTCGGTGGCCACTGTCTGCCCCTAGCACACCTGTGTAGAGGGGGCCACCTGTTCCCACTTCCACCAGGTTCATGCACACACACACCATCTCAGGACTATGAGTTTAATAATCTTATCTAATAAAGAGGGAATATACTAATTGACCCTCACACCGTCGCAAAGATGGCGGCACCCACAGCCAATAAGAAGGGAATATGCTAATTGACTGCCCCGCACTCAAAGATGGCGGTGCCCACAGCCAATAAGGAGGGAATATGCTAATTGACCCTCACACCGTCGCAAAGATGGCGGCACCCACAGCCAATAAGAAGGGAATATGCTAATTGACTGCCCCGCACTCAAAGATGGCAGCGCCCACAGCCACAAGATGATCAGCAGGAGAGGGCAGTTGGGGGCGATCGGGCTGGCAGGGGAGTGGTTAGGGGGCAATCAGGCAGGCAGGCAAGAGGTTGGGAGCCAGCAGTCCCGGATTGTGAGAGGGATGTCCAACTGCCGGTTTAGGCCCGATCTGCTAGAGATCGGGCCTAAACCAGCAGTCAGACATCCCCCGATGGGTCCCAGATTGGAGAGGGTGCAGGCTAGGCTGAGGGACCACCCCCACCCCCAGCGCGCAGTGCACAAATTTCGTGCACAAGGCCTCTAGTGTGATAATAATATATAAAGGCAGCAACTACTATTGCTCTGCTGATCAAATACACATGTTTTAAAAACAAAACAGGATAAGCTAAATCCCATTTTTGGTTTTTACCATACTTACTTCTATTCTGTATTAGCTTGTGCTGTTCTGAAAGGTGCTGTGGATCTGACTGTGGCACAACTCCCACTTGTCTCAAGGCACTGCCCTCCCCACTCCCCCTTCAATGAGCTGCCAACTGCACTGACCCATCTTCTTGGGTCAATGACCATACCATGGGGAAGGCAACCTGGGGAAGACTTGTTGGCCTGCAGCTGGGGCATCTCTCCCGGCGCTCAAAACCACAGTTTGGCCTACTCAGCCCGGAACCACTAGTTCATGAACTTGGGGTCCCTGCCCAAACTAGCTCTGGGTCTGAGCAGGACCTGGAGTACAGTGTTGCCCCAGCGCTGCAGTGCCCGAGGACGGGGCCTCTCCTCTCCAGCCAGTAAACAACCGATCCCAGGTCAGGACACAAAACCTCACATTTGGCCTCAAGTGCCAAGAGGAACAATTGGGTTTCACACTGAATGGCCTTACTCGGGGAAGACCAGGACACAATCAACTCAGTACCTACAAGCCCACAGGGAGCGGTGAAGCCCTCACAGGAAGACCCACGAGGCTGCAGATGGGAGCTCCAAGGAGAGTGCCAGCTGCCCCTGGCCCTCCCTTAGGTCCTCACTTTTCTAACTAATTTCCAAAAATATTTCAACCTAGCTGTGTGCACTGCGTGCAGCCTAACACTGGGGTATATCCGCTGAGTGTTCCTGGAAAGATGGCTATTTGATAGTACCCACATGTTTCCAAGGAAATCCTTAAGTCAAAGAAGCCTATTGATGAAATGGTTCACAAGAGGAAAGGAAGAGGGGCTCCTCATGTTATCTGGTCCTGGTTCTCTGGAGAGTGACGAGATTTTCTTAACAAACAAGACATGCATAACAGGGCAAACACACACGACCAAGAAAACATCGACATCTGGACTTTGCGACTTCCTTACCTGCCGGTAGCTATGAAACCATGAGGCTTCTGCCTTTGACTCATTAAGTGACTCCCAACACAACCTTCATAATTCTTATTTATTTTCAGTCACTGGGAACTTTGGGTTCTTCCTCTGTACGTGGCCTGATGCCTCAGAGGCCTTCCCTTGGACCAACCTCTGTTCTCAGATTCTGGGGAGATCTCTTTCCTGAAACACCTCTCATGCCAAAGTGCCCCATTCTGAATAGGTAAGGACACCTGTTAGTTCTGCCATGTGACCAGTGCTAAAGAAGTTTAGTGAAATCTGTCCAATGGCTTTTCTTGTTTCTAGAGCACAGACTCAAACTCACCATGGCGTCCACACAAAGCTACCTATTCGGGGGCTCTGACCGGTACAGAGGAGCCATGCCTCGACCTGCACAGTGTGACAGGTCCATGCACTTACACCTGATCACCTCCAGCTGCTGCACTCACTGTGCTGTCCTTTCCTGAGGGCTCATGAGCAGGATGGTGCGGCCACCCCGCAGGAGCGCCACCCCCACTGCAGTCTCCGCAGAGCTTGGTGCCACCTAACACCCAGAGGACTCTGGGCTTCTCCTCCAAGAACGCTGGAGCTTAACGCAGCTTGGAATTATGAATGTAATACACTGTTATATTTTGAAACTTTGATAAAAGGATGGGCATGTGGAAACACTGCCTCATCTTTACCAGGTTCTCTACTTAGAACAAAAGGGAGCTCTCAGTCACGACCTTCGGGGACAAGTGGGGGGGGGGGGGGATGAAGACTGCACCTCCCAGAAAAATCACCGTTGGCAAAAATTTTCATACCCTCATAAGTGGCCCTAGAAGTGCTGAGGGAGAGTGTGTTTAATTTATTGGAAAGGAGGGGCGAGAGGGTCGGGGGGAGAGCTGCTGGAAGGAGAAGTGAATGCTCTTCCCCAGGGGTGGCTGAAGTTGAGGCCACCATTTACAGCAGCAGCAGCAGCAGGAGTCAGCGGGCAGGAGACTGTGTGGACGGACCAATTCTTCTATAATGGAGGGAAGACAGACACCCTGGTATGGCCTGTACTGCCTGCTCTGCCATTATTCTGCCATATCTGTGATCTTGTCCTATTTTTCTGGTTATATCACCAACATTTAAGATCCAAAATTAGAAGCACAGGATATCAGAGTTAAAAAAGTTCTCAGAGTCTCTTCAGGGCGGCTCTGACGTGGCCCCTTCTGTGCTGCTGGGACAAGCAAGGCCTGACCTCAGCCCGTCCTGAAGCATCCTCCCCCGCAGCTCCCACTGTTCAAAGCCTCCCCTCTCCTGCCCCAGCCCCCCCCCCAGCCCCCGCCCGCCCCCGCCTGCCCTCAGGAGCCACACAGAGCATCTCGAGCTTCAAAGGAACCACCACATTTCCACCAAGTCTTTTAACCATTCTTTTCCATACCCAGTCACAGCAATGCCTTAGTTTTTGATACTTACTGAGAAACTCAATTTTCAGAATTATCTGGAAATATCCATCAGAGCCACGCGGGAATAGAAAGGCACAGTTTCAGTTCTGTTTGCCATATCTGTTGCCTCAGATCATGCTAACCTGAAACATCTACTTTTTTCATATCGTTTTAGTGCTATTAACAATGCTTTTGCTGCAGCGGTAACAAATAATCCAATAAACTCAACTGTTACATTCACCTTTGAATAACAGTAAATCTAATTATTCAGCATTTTTTCAATGAGACAAGTGCCTAGCTTTGCACACATGCCCTTGCATTTCAAGGTCAGAGGAGAATTGGGGGGTGAGGGGGGGATATGAAATAAGGAAAGCATGAACCACCACTCTAATCAACACACACACACTCCATTTCCAACAGGACTCCCCAGTACAGCCACGAGGAGGAAGGTGCTGACCTGGCCAGGAGAGAGGGCCAAGAAAGAGAAACCGAAACCGGCTTATGGATGACGGACCGTTCACGTTCATCAGTTCACATGTAGGGAGTGAGAAAGAGATGCCCTGGTGGGGCCTGGGGCGAGCTTAGACACCACTAAACTCCTGATGCACAAGACCGGCAGCGGGAAAGGACTGGACACCGGGTGGAAGAGGACTCCTGAGGTCCGAGGAAAACCTCACCGTGTCCCCCACGGAAGACCTGGTCTCAGGAGCGTGTGCAGCTACTGCTGTCTCCGAAGCGAATGGACAGCCCTGAACAAGAAGCCAGGACATTCTCTAGATTTGACTTTATAGAAAAAGAGAGACAAAACACTGGTAGATGGCTGACCTTCCTCTCCAGTAAAGAGATAGGGTCGGCCAGGGGCCTCCACACTCAGAAAATCATCCCCTGGGCCACAGTGTGAGTGAAGCATGAGGCTGCAGACAACCTGCAGGCTCTCAGCAACCAGAGGAATTAGCTGAAGTCGCTGCCACCACAGTGGAGGTCTGGTTCTCAGGGCTGGCTGCCCAGGGTCTTGAGAGGACACCTCTCTCACAAGACCAGACCCAACCCAGCCCACGCCCAGGACATGCCCGAGAAGAGTTCTTCCAATTCTTAGGACACTTAAGGCTGCAACCTGCCCCTCCCCTGCCCACAGTGGACAACCTCTATGGTCAGGACGGTGCGGACGGCAGCACCAGCGAGACCCTGACCGTCACGGGCACCCAGGTGATGAGCCTCTGCAGGGAGGAAAGTGGCCACGCCCTACGCCGCTCTTACCATACAGGCCGTGCTCCAGATGTCAGCAGGGGTGCTGTAACCTGCTCCTATTAAAACCTCTATGGATCTGTACTGACGTGTCTGGATGTCTTCTGTGAAGTGTTTATGCTGAAAGGGAACAGACTGCATTACCAGGGAGGACACATTAAAAAAAGAAAACAGCCTGTCTTCTACATGGCCACAACCAAATGTTTTAGAAAGAAAATTCTACTTACCACCCAACAAGCATTTCACAGGTCAGCAATCTTAACTCTAACTTTATCGGCGTTCCGTGGATCCAGGGGATTCACCAGTAAGTCCGCTGCCCGGGTTTTGGCTGGCATGAGCAAACAGCACGACAGTTAGTGCATGGGGGAAGTGGCTGGCAGGTGTGCACACACGTCTGCCGGGCACAGAGCCTCCTTTTCCAGAAAAGGGATAGGATGGTCATTGAGGCCTGGAACCCTGTAAGCTGAACTCAAAAGAATTTAACATTTGTGGTCTCTATCTCTGGAAAACATTTTGCAAAAAGGAACAAACTAGGCTGCCCAAGACCCCTCGGGCACCGCCCCGCCCTTTCTCCTTTGCCTCCAATTCCTTCGCCCCTCGGGTCAGCCCTGTGCAAGGGACCAGCCCCGTGCAGCTCCCTCCTGCGTGTCTCTGGCTGCTCACTGTGTGAGGGCACATTCCCTGGTGGGCCCCACCTAGCCCATCTGTGCATTACTACAGAGCACGGCAGCAGAGCGCCACTCTGAGCGTCACTGTCCCTGCACCCCCGCCCTCCCTCTGCTTGGGATGTTAGATGATGATTAAACAGATTAAAGGCCAGGACTCATCAGCCTGGTTAGCCTTGGACAAGGAATATTGCAGAAGATAGATTTCCTGAGAAGACCTGGTTTGTAAGGCAAACCTCTCAACCTCTGAGGTCCTTCACGATGGTCTTGCCAAATAATCGGCCCCTCTCAGCCCCAGGGTGACCCTGAGAGAACCTCCTGGTCGGCACAGGGCCAGCCTCCTCAGGGCTCGGGACAGAAGAGCGTCTCAGACAAGTCCAGACCATGCCTGCATCACGCACAGTGACCACGGGCCAGTGACCATGGAAGTAACCTGGTGAGGCCCAGACAGCAAATCCTGGAGCTCAGTCAGCATCTGCAGCAAACCTCAACTGACCTACAAGCTCGGAATTCTGGAAAGGATGAGGTACAGCCATGGCTTTTACTGTAGAATTCTGAAATGGTTTTTACAGACTAAACACAACATTAAACACCCTTTGCTCAGGCAAAGCTGGGCACTGCGAAATGAACCAAACCTCCTGTGGGTGCATCTGTGCCACGAAGCCATGGCACTGAAGGAGGCTCTGACGCCTCAGCACCCAGGGCAGCAAGGCCGGCCGTGCTCACTGTTCATAGGGCCGTGGGTAGGTGAGGTGCCTGGCACCCAGAACACCGACACAGCCCCTCAGGAGGGGCCAGCGGAGGTGGAGAGCGCTCTGGTTTGACCCTCAAGACCCATTCCTCAGGCTGTGGGTCACTGGGGCGGGCAGACTCACATGTTCCCTTCCTGCTGACTGCCAATGCCCACGTTCCTCTTTATAAAAAGACTGATCACCATGGGCCCCATCAAAGGCCAGATCTGAGCTAAGAAGAAACACAGGAAACTCAGAAATAAGAAGGAAAGCAGCCCATAAAAAGGCACAATGTACACCCCGAACAGAGAATGGGTTGAGAAGAGAGTTCCAGGAGAAACAAAAATGCTGCCCTGATGGATGCATGGGCAGCACGCGAAGGCTGGACAAGTCCGTGTGGCATTGACAGGAGAGGCAGCAGGCAGGAAACCGGAATCTGAGGTCTGCAAAACTGGAGTAAAATCTAAGTTCCAACACCTACAAATTCTAAGACTCTGGCCAATGACTGAAGCTGTCTGAGACTCAGTGAAACGAAGGGAGAGGAAGGGACCACCCCTCCCCGCACACACAGACTGTGCACCGGAGGCGGGCAGTGTCTGGCCTGTAGAGCCCGGGGCTCCCCTTGCCAGTGGCGGGGGAAGGGCCTGCTCCAGGGACCACATCCCCTGGCTCAGGTGTGAGGCAATGACCACCTCACAAACAGCACTATGGAATTTACCTTAAACATGTAATTGTATAAAAGCACAGAGAAGGTAAAAGAGAACTTTCTTCTGAGTACCTGACTGTAATATTCAAAAAGTCATTTCAACATCTGCACAATGGAATACTACGCTGCTATGAAAAAGAAAGAACTCTTACCATTTGCAACAGCATGGATGGACCTGGAGAGAATTATGCTAAACAAAAAGTCATTCAAACACAGGTACAATCATGCTTGCTGCACAGTCACACCCATTTTACTGCTACCAAGGAGAGAGTGGCAAGTGGAAAGAGTTCACTCCATGAAGGCCTGCAGTCTTAAGCCATTCCTGATAAACTGGTCTCAGGGTGACACTGTGTTCCCTCCACTTGAAACCATCCTAGAAACTAGTAAGACGACAGCCAGGGGGGCCTACAGGTGACAAAACAGCCGCCATCACTGCACTGCAAGGCTCTATTCTAGGCCCAGATTGATACTTCATCCATTCATTCATTTTAAATCCTCACCCAAGGACATCTCCTCCATTGATTTCTAGAGAGATTGGAAGGGAGGGAGGGAGGGAGGAAAAGGGAGAGAGAGAGAAACATCGATGTGAGAGAGACACATCGACTGGTTGCCTTCTGCACATGCCCTGACCTGGGGCTGGGGAACCTGCAACCAAGGTACATGCCCTTGACTGGGAATCCGGGAATTGAACCCGAGACCCTTCAGTCCATGGGTCGATACTCTAACCACTGGGAAAAACCACATTGATACTTTAGTTTAAAGTATCTGTAACAGGAGGCATGAATGCCCTCTCGATATGCAGATTCAGTACCAAATGCAAGGAGCAAAATTAGGAGATTTAGTGCCCAAACCCGACCCATTATCTGTTCTAGGTGCTGTCTTGGCACAAGAAACAGCATAAACAAGACAAATGAGGTTCACCCACCACACCCCAAATTAGGTAACTCATGTACCAGCTGGGAGTATGGGCAATAAAGCAAATAAAATGAGTCACACACCATGTCAGGTGGCTCTTTATGCTGTGAAGAAAAGCAAAGCAAAGAAAGGAGCTGGATAATGGAGGGTGTTCAGGGGAGGCCTGAGGAGAGGCCTGAGGAAAGGGAGTCTGGGAAGGGAGCTCTAGGCCAGGGAGGTGGAGTGCAAAGAGGCACCAACACACCCGCTGGTACTTCTGAGAAACTTCAGAACAAAGCTAGTGTGGGAGGTACAGAATGAGCCCAGGAAGTAGACCCAGGGGATGTTAGGGAAATGACCGGCAGGGAGCAGACTGCATAGAGCTGTAAGCGTTAGCACTGTGCCTCCGGGGCCATGCTCAGTGGACGGGATAAGCTTTCAACAAGCTCTCTCTTTGGACTGCTCTCCAGAGAATGGCTAGGGAGTGAGAGCAAAGTGAGATGGCAGAGGACCTGTGTTAGTTACACCAGCCTAGGCAGGACTGACCCGGTCACCATTAGGTGAGAGGGGAAGGATCCAAAACAGACCAACATACTTGCAAGGGAAAGCCGACACCACCACGCTGCCTCAAGTCTCTGCCCCTCGGCCGTGATGAGCCAGGGTCTAGTCTATGGATCCAGCAGCGAACAACCCAAGAGGAATCCTGCCTCCTCCCTCCACCTTCGAGGCTCCCACATTCTCCAGCCTGGTGTGTGTGCCTTCCTTCAGACTTCTCGCTCTGGCCTGGCCTCTTCAACCACGCTCTGCCGTAATGAAAAGGATCTAAACAAATTCTATGTCGTCCATTTGGCAATTCACCATTGAATTGTTGACACGAGCTGCTGTACGTGTAATCACTTTCTGCGTTTGGCTCATCAAGGTTATACTCCTTGGGGTTTGGGCAATCTTCTTCATCATCGTCTTCGTCATAAAAGCTTGTTTCTCTTGCCTCGTATTCATTAAGTACCACGTGGCACCCACCAGCCTCTAGATCACACCCCTTTCTTGCAGAAAACACCTCCCATAGGGGGAGCGGTGGGGTGCTGGCCATGGTTATGAAACAGCCAAGCTAAAAACCAAAATGAGGACCTCCCATCACATGCCTGGATGAGGAGATCCTGTCCCTGCTATGTCCCTAGAATGTGACAATATTCAAAAGGTCTGTTTGGTAAGAAGAGACTAGGCTCAATGAAAAAAGAAAAAGAAAAAAAGAACTTCGCCTTTGCTGGTTTGGCTGGTGGATAGAGCGTTGGCCTGCAGACCAAAGGGTTCCAGGTTCAATTCCGGTCAAGAGCACGCACCTTGTTTGCTTGCTCCTCCCAAGCCTGGGCCGGGTTAGGGCCTGTGCAGGAGGCAACCAATTGATGTGTTTCTCTCACATCGATGTTTCTCTCTGTCTTTCCCTCTCTTCCACTCTCTCTAAAAGATCAATGGGGAAAAACCAGACCTAATAGTTCTCCCTGCCTCTCCCAGCACTCATGCAACAGGCAGGGTGCTGGGAATGGATGGAGTGTGTGTTGTTGGACAGAGTAAAATTTTGACTGTGAGTAGAAAAAAGTGGGAGAAAGGAACGAGTAGAAGAATGTAACCAAGTATCACTGATTTGTTTGTTCATTACTCAACAAATGTTTATCTTAGAGTCAAGTTAGATGCTGAGCTATAAAGAGAAAACACAGAGCCCTTTCTTTTTTTTTTTTTTTTTTTCTTTCCCCCCATCTCGCTTTTATTTATCTTATTTTGTTGGGTTTTTTTTAAACAAACAAGATCTCGAATAAGCCTTGGACAAACCAAACTGTTGTGATGGTAACAATAACAAAACAAAAAAATCAGGGCACAAGCATTTCAGTGTAAGTGGGAGAATACAAAGAGGCTCACAACTCCAATACTGAACATTAACCCAAAAATAGTTTATATCTGTAATTTATAAGAATCACAATGCCAGGTTAAAAGACAAAAGTCTACAGTACTAATCTGCTTTGTCTCTCTCTTGTTCTCACTCTCTCTCTTTTCCCCTTTTTTCTTTTTTCTATTTTTAATTTCACTTCTACCTCAGAAACACAGAGCCCTTTCAAAGAGATTTACATCCTAGTGCAGAGAGACAATGGAGATGAACAATGACCATGCACTTAAGGAGAGCTGACCAGTAGGGAAGAGGGGGAAGGATCAGGCCAGCGGGGGAACACAGGACTCGTGTTTGAGCTGCTACCTGACCAAACAACGAAAGTTTGCCAAAAGCATGGACAATGGATAAACAGGAGGAAACCTTCCAGGCCAGCGGGAAGCACAGTGAAGGGACAGAGCACGAGCGAACACGCCTGGTGCACACAGATGTTCGTTATCGTGTCTTGAAAATAAAGGGGAAGGGGCTATGCGACACTTGGTGCCCAGCAGTCAGCAGTGTTGGCAGCCTGAGAGTGAGTACGACACGCAGAGGTGAGTGCGTCCTTGGATGAACCGACATCCCAGGTGAAGCACCTTGTAAGTACCTTTAAAAGGTTCTGCTCGGAGTAAAGGTAAACAGGATCAGACTGTGTGTAGCAAGGCGGCTCTGCAGGCCTTTCCCACCTGCTGAAATGGAAGGGCTGCAGACCTGGCTGAGCGATCTGCGGCTGGCTCGCCCACGGACTGTCTGTTAAACACTTGTCAGCAGGGGGAGCAGAGGAGGTTTGTGAGGCCAGAATGGAAACCAGCCATGGTGCCCAGGGTTTCTTACTGAAGTCCCTTGGCAGGTCACGGCAGAGATGTGTCACGTGGCATTCACATTGAAATCCTTGCCACTGCCTTTAAAATGGCAGCAACCAAGTCCTATAATCAGGAATAAGTATCAAAGTAAAGACACCCCTTCTCAATCAGACAAAGAACAGGCACCTACCTCTGAATAGAAACAAAACAAACCAAAAACTAAATATTACAGATGGACGTATAAATTAAACTACACATTCTAGAAAGCTACAGGTATAAGTTCTTAAACTGGGAAGGTTCTTAGACGATGTCACTAAATATAGAGAGAATGGGACAAGCTCAGAAATGGATCTGAGACGTAGCGAGCAAGAGAAAGTGGCACAGACTATACTCTATGTCACATTAGTTATTCACGAGCACACAGATAAAATGGAAGTGGTGCGGCAGACAGACATGGCTTTCCCACCTCCAGCCAATTCCCTCCTTTGTCAAGTGTGACTCAGACCACTGAGGCAGGTACCTGATGGGGAGGGACACTTACTTTTTGGCAAATCCCCAGTGCTGAAGGCGAAAACCATCCTGCTCTTGTCTTGGGATGGGCTGTTTTACTCCTGCTCAGTAAGCAGGATTCTTCAGAAAGTGCAGAGCCACAAGCCACAGGTTCTAAGGGCCCAGAGGACAATGAGGTGGAAAACTCTGGAAACTGAGACTTAGGAATTTTATTTCGTCCATTAGGCAATTTATCATTGAATTGTTCATAGGAGTTGGTATACATGTAATCACTTCCTGCGTTTGGATCATCAGAGTTATACTCCTCGGGGTTTGGGCAATCTACTTCATCATTGTCTTCATCATCCAGCTGCTGCTCCAGCAGGAACGGGCCATTCCCAATGTGGTCATTGGATTTTAGGTGATTCTATCCAGGTGGGGTCTATCTTCTCGAGCTCCTGTCCACCATCGTCTTCATCCTTCTCAATGTTTTCCTTCTCAGCATCTTCTTTCTCTTCCTGGTCCTCAGCTTCACCTTCAAAGGTTGATGAATGGAGAATTAGAACTTGTTACCTCCTTACCACAATGGCACTGAGCACTTATCTCCTCCAACAAGAGAGAACTCTAAATGTGCTTAACTTATGCACTACATAGCAGACACCGCTTGGCTCTCAGGTTTCCGAAATCTTAATTTGCATTTATTAAGTAACTGGCCTTCTCTTATTAGAAAGAGTTAGTTCCTGGGGGAAAATGATCTAATAGTTGCATTTCCATTTCTACCGTCTCCTCTGTAACCCTCAGGGAAGGTTTGTGGGTATAGTACTATTACGTAAAAGGTTAATTACAAAATAAAAGACAATCATCAGCATGATAGAAACATGGAGTTTCTCAGATATTTCCCATGTTTTAAAAAACTTGTGAAAATATTAACATATTTCTGGCATCCATTTTACAAATGAATTACCAGACAGTTCCCCATATTCCTGAGTAAGGAGTTAAAGAGAACCCTCCTCACTCTGAAGCAGCACGGCCACCCTCTGTGGTGCCCGGGGGAGGGCCCTGTTAGTGAGGCCTGGCCCTCTCTGCAGCCCCGTCTTCGAGCGACTGACCGTTGTCCAGCGCAGGCTCTCCCTCAGCAGCCTCCTCTGGCGCTGCTGTCTTTAGTTTCCCCTCTGGGCGGTATTCATCATCTTGCTCCTTGGAAGGTACAGCTGATGTGACATTTTCTTCTATTATTTTCCTTTTGGCTTCACACTCCAATTCTTCCCAAAAGCAGGTGCTTTTCCAGTAACTCAGCCTGCCTTTTCTGCTGCTTTTTTGTTTTTAGAAATTTTTCCTATCTACAACATGGTAAGAAAATACCACAGGTCAGTCTGCTTCTTTTGAAAGCACTATGCAATAGTATAAAGCCTGGAAGTATAGCAAATACTAACAAAGTCTGGTTTTTTTTCAGATTGTATTCAATTAAAATCACATGCCCAGACATGAGACCTACCTGGTGGCTAGGGTTACAGTCAAACCAGGAAAAAAGGAACCAATGTAATATCAAATAATAGGTCCTACCCTCAGAGGGATGTAGCTTAAATCCAATTAAGTTTTTTCCATTGAAACTCTGAGAAGTACTGAATATGCTGAGAAAACAAGAAGCACCACTTGCCGAACCGGTTTGGCTCAATGGATAGAGCTTCGGCCTGCGGACTCAAGGGTCCCGGGTTCGATTCCGGTCAAGGGCATGTGCCCTGGTTGCGGGCACATCCCCAGTGGGGGGCGTGCAGGAGGCAGCTGATCGATCTCTCTCATTGATGTTTCTAACTCTCTATCCCTCTCTCTTCTTCTCTGTAAAAATTCAATAAAATATATTTAAAAAAAAAAAAAAAAAAAAAAGAAGCACCACTTGCCAGTTTTATGTGCTGCTGCTTGTACACAAAGTAACAAAGTCCCCTCTCCTTCCTACCTTACCAAGGTGCCTGCCAAAGCAGGTGTTTCCTTCATGGGCGGTCAACAGCACTGCTCGTGTTTGGGTCTCACACACTGAGCTGTTACCAACAGCCAAGACTGCATGAACGTAGGAAATGAGCCCATGAAGGAAAGGAAAAAAGAGAAAAGCGCCTCCAATGATAGGCATCTAACTTGGAAGCTACTAGCCATGAGAGCCTCCAGTTTTCACAGAGCAAAGCCAGCTGCTCGAGTCGTGGGGAACTATGGAGAACGGCACGGCTCACGGCCTCGCAGGCCAGGTGGCGCAATTAGTACCACTCCTCTTCTACTGGGACTTCCATTCCAAACTGAGGGCTGTGGCGGCACCCTGAATTCCTGGGCATTTCCTTTCAAAGCTCTAAAATCTGTAGGTGACGAGATAGAGACATTCAATCGTCCCCTGGACCCAGCTGGGGTCAGGGCTGCTGGGCAGGGTTTCTTTCCAGGCAGCCTGCTTCATTTGACTGGACTCAGTGTTTTCTCAGGACCACAAAAAAGATCATCCCTCCCATATTTAACTGCTAGCGAGGGGAAAAAATTTAGAGCTGCATTAGAAAAACAGGTAACTTGGAAGCCAATGAGAAATAAGGTAAAGTGTTTTCAGAATAATCACACTCTAAACTCTATTTCTATCACCTATTTCACCAAGCTCGGCCAACAGCACTCCAGAAAGCACGCAAGGAAGATGAAGATCAAACTTGGAACCGCTCTAACTATTTCTAAGTCTAAAATTCAGTTCAGCTGACCAAAACAGTTTAAGTCTTCTATATTCAAGGATACACAGCATTTGTAAACGTACCTGTGTATTACATTACTATATATTAGGATATCTGTGATTGAGAAAGGAACCAAAACAATATATGACCAATTCCCTCAACCTACCCTTAAATGAAAAATTGTTGCAGAAAGAAACAAACTACTGTTACACTGCGAAAAGTTCAGTAATGAGCAGATGCTTTTAAGATTAGTACTTACAGGTTTTTGCTGTGGAGCCGTACTCACTAAAACAAACAAACAAAAAAACGACAGTTTAGAGGGAAATTGATACATATCCTTATTAAATTGTAAAATGAAATAATTACTGTCTTTTAATGGCTATCCAACTTCAACAATTTAAATACTAGAGCTTCTGAATCAAAGAGATCTAAGTCTAAAGAATGTTTACCCAACTCAAATGAATGGTTCTTAAAAATCATAGCAATAGCTGTTCAATATGGAACCATTTCTCTTGTTTATCTAAAATTAAATAACCATTTAAAAATAAAATGAAATGAAATAACCATTCATTTCAGAAATATCCAAAAGTCCATTTCAGTGCCATCCAAAAGCACTGACTAATAACTTAAGAAAATGGAAGATTCACAAATGAAGTCATTGAACCAACTTGTTTTATAAACAATGAAACAATTTAGATGAGATGTTTGAAAATTATTTAGCAAGTTTGTACAACTAAAGTAAATCAAATATTGCAGCAAATATTCTACAAATCAAATGACCAGACCTTGCCAGTCTCAAAAGCTTGAAAGACTAAAAGAGTCCATGATCTAGGAAAACACAGATGGTAGAAATCAGATTCAGAGGTGCTGCATCTCCCAAGCCCCCGTCAGTCACAGGGCTGCAGCCCTGAGCCTACTCGCCTGCCTGACAGCCTGGGGCACACACACTGTGAGGGGAGGGGAGAGAACAGTCAACCCCTCACTGCCACCTTTGTAGTCAGGGAAAACCAGAAATTAAACTTGATATACTAATACTCAAGTCACTTGGTCTTTCCCCCCCGCCCCTGGGGTCTGTAACTGATTCCAAATCCACTAGGTAGACTATGACTGATGTAACTATGCTAACTGGAGACTAGGAGGCATGCTAACAAGCCTGAAGCTAGAAAAAACTCTGATGACTACACGTCGGCTACATAGGCCCTGCTGCTGTATATTCTTCTACAGAGAAGTGGGCGACAGAAGGAAATGTGCAAAGGTAAGAACTGAAATGACCTTTTAAGCGAGAACAAAGAACTCAAATGTGAAAGTGTAATTTGAAGCATCTTCCTTCTTAAAAAAAAAGTAGTTATTTCTATCCATCAGGTTCTTACCAAAGTTCCTAATACGTACACAGCTGCCTCAGCATGCAACCCTGCAAGCTCTCAATGTTCCCAAACTGGCTGAGACAGAGCTGGCCTGGCCCTCACCTGCAGACCCTGACGGAGGAGGAGCACCGGCTTTCTGCCACTGCATGGCCTCAGCTGCCATTCTTCTCACGTGTGCATCATCACACACATCAAGATGTCCCCTGGCTTGATGTCAGTATGAATGATCTTGCATTTCCTGTGTAGATAATCTAACCCCTGAAGTACCTGATCACAATGAAATTAAGAGAGGAGATAAGTTATTTTACCGTTATTACTCAATATTTATTTGTAAAATAGGTAATATTGTCACAAGGCACAAAATTCAAAAGACAAAAAATGATATTTAGTAAAAATCTCCTCCCACAAGCAACCAATGTGTATCATTCTGGAGATAATTTATGCTCACGCAAACAAATGCATCTATACATACATCTATATATACATTTTTTAAAGACTTATTGATTTTTAGAAAGACAGGAAGGGAGAGGGAGAAAGAGGGAAACATCAATGTGAGAGCGAGACATCAATTGGCTGCCTCCTGCATGCCCCCCCATCAGGGATCAAGCCCACAAGCCAGGCATGTGCCCTGATTAGGAATCGAACCGGCCTTCCGGTGCCTGGGATGATGCCCAACCGAGCCACACCGGCCAGGGCTATATATACTTTTATAATAACTTTATTGAAATGTAATTTCGATACCAAACAATTCACCCTTATAAGTGTATAAGTCTATGGTATTTAGATGTGCAGCCATAGCCACTATCTAATTTAGAACACCCACTATCTAATTTAGAACACTTTCATTACCCAAAAAGAAACACTACTCATTGGCAGTCATTCTCCTTCCGCTCCAAACTCCTCCAGCCTTAAGCAACCACTAACTTACTTTCTATCTTATTCTGGACATCTTACTAATAATCTTACCTAATAATAGACAAACATGTAAATTGACTGTCCCTCAGCTATGCTCACCAGCCAATCAGGAGAGTATGCAAATTAACCCAACAAAGATGGTGGTTAATTTGCATACGTAGGCGCCCAGCGGCCTGGGTCCCAGGAACATCATCGGGCACCCAGGTCACTCCGAGGTAGGCCCCGTGTGGGCCCTGAGCAGCCTAGGAAGGGCCTGAGCCGGGGGCTCCTGGGCAGGGCCTGAGCCTGCGATCAGAGCCGAGGGGGCAGGGGTGGAGCCCGTGATCGAGGGAAGCAGGGGCAGAGCCGGCAATCAGAGGGAGTTGGGGGTCCCCTGCCCAGTCCTAACACCTCTGGCCGAGGTGTTAGGACTGGGCAGGGGTGGAGCTGGCAATCGGAGGAAGCAGGGGGTCCCCTGCCCAGGCCCCAAAGCTTTAGGCCTGGGCAGGGGCCAAGCCAGGGATCAGTGTGAACTCCAGAGGAAACACCTTTTCTGACCGCTCATTGGCTAAGCTCCCTGTATGCCACTGGGTAATAAGTAACTTGGGTAATAAGAATCCAAGAAGGTGACCTAGGGTTTTTCCACCACACTCCTGGAGAAAAAAAACACAGATCCGCTGCTGGAGTGCTAAGAAATGTCATATCCTGCCCTAGCCTGTTTGGCTCAGTGGATAATGCCTCGGCCTGCCAACCGCAGGGTCTGGGTTCAATTCTGACCAAGGGCATGTACCTAGGTTGCAGGCTCCTCCCTGGCCAGGGCCCAAGTCAGGGCTCATGCAGGAGGCAACCAATCAAAGTGTTCCTCTCACTTTGATGTTTCTGTCTTTCCCTTTCTCTTCCACATTCTCTAAAAATCAATGGAAACATATCCTCAGGTGAGGATAAAAAAAAAAAAAAAAAAGAAAGAAATGTCATATTCTATGAAAGACACATCCTGAAAATGCCTATAAGAAAGTTATTTTTTCATGGTGAAGGGACTGGAGTCTGTGTTGATGAAAACGCCTTGGTGGCTGTGGTGACTGACAGTGGCTGCAGCAGTGGGGTGATGGGGCTGGTGCCTTCCTCTGATCAGCCCAGTTGCCTCCCACAAAGCGATGCCGGACTGCGGCTTAGACCCACTCCCCAAAGGGAGCAAGGAGCGGATCTAAGCCGTCAGTAGGACATCCCCTGAGGGCTCCCAGTATGTGAGAGGGGGCAGGCTGGGCTGAGAGGACCCCCCCCCACCCCCCAGGGCACAAATTTTGTGCACCGGGCCCCTAGTTTTATATATAAGTGAAATCATACATAGTGGTCTTTTGTAAGTGGTTCATCCAAATATAGCATGTATCAGCACTTCATCACTCCTTTTCATTGTTCAACAATGTTCCACTGGAAATGCCATATTTGTCTAGCCATTCACTCGATGGACATTTGGGGTTTTTCCACTTTTGGACTACTATAAATAAAATTGCCATGAACATTCACATACAAGTTTCTGTGTGGATATATGTTTTTGTTTTTCTTGAGTATATACCTAGGAGTGCAACTGTTGGATCATTGGGTAACTCTATGTTCCACCCTTTGATAAACTGCCAGACTGTTTTATACAGTGGCTACACCACTTTCCGTTCTCAGTGGCCACGTGTGAGGGTTCTGATGTCTTCCTCATAGCCAGTGCTTTCTCTGTCTTTTTCATTTCAGTGACTGTAGTGGATAGGAAGGGTATATCTCACTGATGACTAATAATGTGCATATATTTTTAATAATGCAGGAAAGGAGGTCAAAGTTTTTCTGGACTTACTTCCATGGGAGAGGAATTTTATCAATTATTTCCATAAGCAATTATTTTTAAAATACAGATCATGTTCCTATACATTAGAAATTCAATATGCCCAATGAATATTAACATTTAATAAATATCATTAAACCATTTTAAGTCATTTAGGGGTCTTGTCCACAATAGACAAGTGGAGAAAAGACAAGCAGAAGATATATAATATCACTCAACTCTGGAAAGTTAGCAGTAAAAACCTAACACTTCTGTTTACCTTGAGAATCTGGCTAAACGACCTTAGCAGACAACAGAGCATCAGGAAGTGAGGGTACAGATACAGAGATTTCAAAAAGAGAAAACAGAATGACTGTCTCTCAAGTAGCATGAAAATCCCTCATCGAGTCTTACCCCCTCTTTTCTAGCCACACAGTAGACTATGTGTTTGATACATAGCAATAAACAAAGTCCCCTGGCTTCATGGGCTTACATCGTCCTCATGTTATCACAGAGCTTACTGCTTCATGCCAGGGGAGAGAAGGGTTGGCCAAGGAGAAACCAAGTTGAATCATGGGGACAGTAAACACAATTTAGAATGTGGACGAGTTCCTAGTAATAGTACCAGTAAATGTCAACACTTTTCCTAAAAGATCTTTCACCACCATCTCATCCTCAAGTAGCTTTTATCTTTCTACCTCAGGTCCTTCACATTCTCAGGTTGTTTGACCATGTGGGAGGCTGCACAGGTATGAGTTCATGAGATTCACTACCCAAATGTGTTCATATGAGTTCCCCATGACAATGAGGCTATCAAGATGAGCAAAGTGTTCTCAGAAAGAAGTTAAGAGTCCAGATTTTTTAAATGTTGCTATTGCACACACCTGGGTTAACTTTCTTTAAGAAGCATAGTTTGTAACATCTGACTATGAAAATAAGCAAAAGACTTCACCACTGGAACAAATTAAGTTAATTAAGATTATGTAAGTCATTAAAGGAAAGAAAATGGTTAAGAGATGAAGCATTAAAACACAACCTCGGGGGTCACACTGTTACTAAACACTGCTCACTCACTCACTGGGCAAGGTATCTGAGCTTCCATTTTCATATATCTGGTTAGAAACATAGTGAGAATTAGAAATAATCTGTGGAAATCATAAAAAGAAGGTCTAGCTTACAGGAAGCTCAAAAATAAGTGATATAACTGAACTAAGCCAGAAGACTTGTATTATTGACTAAATAACTATAACTTGACTAAGTCATTTCTTGAACTTCTCTAGGCTCAGTTCTCCCATAGCTAACATGAATGGGCTCTACTTGATATTCTCTGTGGTAATAAAGTTACATAATCTGATTCTGCAGTTTCTTTTAATTCTAGACTACTATTTTTTAAAACCTTTAGCTGTAAGCTAAGAACAACAGTTTTATTTTTTTTTAAATGTCATTTCTGCCCTGGCCGGTTTGCTCAGTGGAAAGAGCGTCAGCCTGCGAAATGAAAGGTCCCAGGTTCGATTCCGGTCAGGGGCACATGCCCAGGTTGTGGGCTCAATCCCCTGTGGGGGGGCTTGCAGGAGGCAGCCGATCAATGATTCTCTCTCATCATTGATGTTTCTCTCTCTCCCTCTCCCTTTCTCTCTGAAATCAATAAAAATATATGTATGTATAAAAAAAAGTCATTTCTGTTCTCAGCCACTGAGGTTTAAAGCAATAAAGCACCCCAGAATCCAGAATCCAACAATAATGGCAATCTTACCACCATTTGTGCAGAATTACTATGATGATGCAAAAAATAAAATAAAAATCTATGAAGCAAGTTTCATGCTCAAGGATAGGTCTCCCCTTGCATATTCTGAAAAATAGTTAAAAGGAGCCTTTACTAATTTCCCCTCTGTTGCCTTCATTTGTCAAATCTTAAGTATTTCTCTCCTGCCTAAAAAAACACACATACTGCCCTGACAGGTTTGGCTCAGTGGATAGAGCGTCGGCCTGCAGACTCAAGGGTCCCAGGTTCGATTCTGGTCAAGGGCATGTACCTTGGTTGCGGGCACATGCCTAGTAGGGAGCGTGCAGGAGGCAGCTGATTGATGTTTCTCTCGCATCTATGTTTCTAACTCTATCCCTCTCCCTTCCTCTCTAAAAAAAAAAAAAAAAAAAAAAAAAAAAAATATATTTTTTTAAAAAAAACAACACACATACTTGGCCTCAGCAGCAGGAGGCAGCAGAGGCTGCACAGATCCTTGGGCTTCTTTGAAAGCTGAGCTCCATCTAACCACACATGGGCCAGGAACAGGGCTGCAGCCACTCAGGGAGCCCACACACCCTCCTGGAGCAGGGGCCAGTTTTCTCCACAGGAGTCAGGCACACAGGTCAGCAGCAGCACAGAAGTGAAGGCTGAGAGCAAGAGAAGCCCCAGTTCTCAGTCAGGAACTAACTACCCATGGCTCAGAGCAATTCCCTTCTCTCAAGTTCAGCTGTAAAGTAAGGGGTTTGGTCAAGACTGCCTCTAACTTTTTTTCTATACACCTATGAAACAAGTCAGAGCTCATCTATTACTGGCGTTCCTATC